AGCAATTTAAAATAAACTCAGGGTAGTAATAAGAAAGGTCCCCATGGCAGGGGACATGAAAAGGAGCCCAAGGTGGATAGGAGCTTCTTAAAAAGGTAATTCTGAGGGCACAACTATCAAAAAACAAGGGAAAAAAGGTGGAAAACAGCAAAACCCAATGTGGCTTCACAAAAAGCTCACAGAGGACCTGGAAGTTAAAAAGCACAAACGTAAGGGGAGTGAACGTAAGGCCAGGCCAGAAGGAAAAGGTACCGAAAAGTAGCGAAGAAAGCAAAAGCTGAAAATGAGCTGAGGTTAGCAAAATATGCTAAAAGTAACAAAAAGCATTCTTCAGGTATGTATGTAGCAAAATACAAAGAAAAGAAACCAAGCTACTCAGTGGAGATGGGGAAAAGATAACAAGTGACAAAGAAAAGACAGAACTGTTCAATTCCTACTTTAGCTCAGTCTTTTCCCAAAAGACAGCCCATGACCCTTCTGGCAAAAGTGAAGTACAAGTAAAAGGGACAGGATAGCATCTTGAGACTGATAGACAAATAGTCAGGGAACACTTTATTACTTTGAATGACTTCAATTCTCTAGGGCCAGATGAACTGCATCTAAGAGTACTGAAGAAACTGGCTGAAAAACTTTCAGAGCCACAGTCTATTATTTTCTTGAAATCATGGAGGATGGGTGAAGTGCTAGATTATTAGAGGGGGGCTAATGTTATCCCTGTCTTCAAAAAGGCTAAAAAGGAGGACCAGTCAGTCTGAGATCAATCCCAGGGAAAAATCTGGAGCAGATTATAAAGCAGTCATTCTGCAGTACCCTTGAAAACAATGCAATAACAGAACAAATCTTGCCAGACTAATCTTATCTGGTAACCTTCCTAGTAGATGGTGGTAATGCTATAGAATGGATGTAATATATCTTGACTTCAGCAAAGCCTTTGGCAAAGTGCCTTATGATATTCTGATTAGCAAACTAACTGGCTGTGGGATGGATAGAACAACTGCCAGGTGGATACACCATTGGTTACAAAATCATACTCAGGAAGTGCCTATCAAAATCATACTTAGGGAGTGCCTCCTTCTCAAGCTGGGAGGAGGTAACAAATGAGCCACCACAATGCTGAGTCCTGGATTTTGTGTTCTTCTACATTTTTATGCATGACTTGGATGAGGGGGTATAATGAGTGCTTATCCATTTGCAAATGACAAAAGATTAGTGGAATAGCTAATACCATAGAACAGGGGTCCCCACCCCCTGGTCCGCGGCCCAGTGCCAGTCTGTGTGGCCTGGGCCGGACCAGGCTGCAGAGACAGATCTTCCATCCACCCCACACGTACTCTTGTTCCCCCCGCACAGCCCCTTTGCACAAGCATGTGCAAGTGCCCCCTTTGCGAGTGTGCGCAAGTGTCTCCCGAGCACCCCTTGTGCTTCGCACCTGCGCACGAGCACTTGCATGAGCGCACATCAACTCCTTTGCACTTGTGCATCAGCGCGGGGCGGGGTGGCCCGACTTTCCCAAACATTGGGGACCGCTGCCATAGAAGACAAAAACAATGTTCAAAAAGGTTTGAGCAATAGGCTGACAACAACAGAATGAAATTTAACAAGGATAACTGCAAAGTTCTACACCTAGGGAGAAGAAACCAAGTGCACTGTTACAAGATGGGGGGTATTTGGTTCAGCAGTATTATAAGCGAGAAAGATCTTGTAATTGTTATAGATCACAAGCTGAACATGAGCCAACATTGCGATGTAGCTGCAAAAACTGCCAATGCTATTTTAGGTTGCATTAACAGAAATATCGCCTCCCAAGTCACATGAACTACTAGTGCCCCTCTATTGAGCACTAGTCAGTTCTAATCTAGAGTACTGTGTCCAGTTCTGGATACCACACTTTAAGAAGTACAGTATGCTGACAAACTGGAACAAGTTCAGAGGATAGCAACATAGGGCTGCAAACCAAGCCCTATAAGAAAACACTGAAAAAACTGGGCAAGCTTAGACTTGACAAAATAAGACTAGGGGAGATATGATAGCACAGTTCAAATACTAGAAATATTGTCTTTTAGAGGAGAGGATAATTAATACACATAATAATGGGCTTATGTTATAGGAATCCAGAGCAATCTACATTTATTCAAATACAGTCATGTCATCTTCTGGTTGCTGCACAATGGTGGAGGATGGGGTTTCACTTAACTAGGGCTTATTTTGGGGGTAGGGCTTATATTACAAGCATCCTGAAAAATCCTACTATGGCTTATTTTCAGGTTAGGTCTTATTTTCAGGGAAACAGGGTATTAGAGCAGTACAACAAGGGAAGCTATTCCCCTAGGAGGTGGTGAGTGCTCCAATCCTGGAGGCATTTAAAAGAAAAATTGAGCAACCATCTGTCAGATACCCTTTGATTTGTATTTCTGCACTGAGACGGGGTTGGAATCAATGGCCTTATAGACCCGTTCCAACTTCATGATACTATTATGGTATGAAAAAAACTCTGATAATGTGGGGTCCCAGAACACAGTTCTGTCCATGGATCCACTAGTCATTCAAGGCTGGATCCATCCATCCTTGAATGACTGGCAACTCCTAGTTTCTTATGTGTCTGAACTTCACATTTTATTTCTTCTGGGCAGGGTGGGCTCTGGAATTTCAATCCTGTTCTGTGGACTGGTAATAAAATGGTCAACTGTAGCCTTGGTTTTCTTCAATCTTCAGCTGCCCAAAGAAGCAATTTTAAGTGGCCTGTAAGGCATAAACACTAGCTTATTCCATCTCTTGGAAGCTTTATATTGAACTTACATGACACCACAGTGTGATAGGGAGTGAAGACTCTAAAGGATGCTAGCACTAAAGATAAAAAAAAGCTGCAAGGTCTTGAGCACTCTACATGGTTTCAAAGGAGAAGGGGAGGGAACAGGAGGCCCTCTAGAAATAGTTGAACTGCCACACTCATCAGCTTAAGCAAGCAAAGCCAGTGGTGAGACCTGGTGGGAATTGATGTCCAAAAATATGTGGAGGGGCACATATTCCCTGTCTCTCTAAATAAATATTGATCTGTAATTTTTAAAGCAAACAACCTTAAAATGGTGCTAGAAGAAATTAGATACAGATTAACTGCATTTGCCACATGGTGGCGCTGTGGACTAAACCGCAGAAGCCTGTGCTGCAGGGTCAGAAGACCAAGCAGTCGTAAGATCGAATCCACACGACGGAGTGAGTGCCCATCACTTGTCCCAGCTCCCGCCAACCTAGCGGTTCAAAAGCATGCAAATGCAAGTAGATAAATAGGGACCACCTTGGTAGGAAGGTAACAGCGTTCCGTGTCTAAGTCGCACTGGCCATGTGACCACGGAAGATTGTCTTCGGACAAAACGCTGGCTCTATGGCTTGGAAACGGGGATGAGCACCGCCCCCTAGAGTCGAACACGACTGGACAAAAATTGTCAAGGGGAACCTTTACCTTTAACTGCATTTGCACATACTGTATTTTTTTCCAAGTATGAAATGCGAATATTTTGCAGATAGATTTGGGAATACAATGAGTGGTAGTGTATATAGGCATAGGAGAATATGACCTATTTTCAGCCATGTAGTACTAAATTTGGAACTACATGTGCTCAGCACCACAGGCCCCATATTGAGCCTCGCCCCCATGGAGGGTACAACAGTGAAAGCACTTAAGATCAATTCATATCAACAAATCACTTCTAGCTGGGTTTTTTTCCATCAGAAAGTCATCTTTTCCAAAGGTAATGGCTCTCAATTGCTCATTCAAGAATCATCTTCAAATATTTCACATTATAACAGGGATAGCTTACAACAATGTCCTGGCCAGAATCCTGTTAGTTACGCCCTTCAGAAGTTATGAAGTTGTAGTTCTTCCTATACCTGGGAAACTCCTCTTAGGTTCTTCAAGGACTGTAGCTAAGCTCAAAGGCAACAGGGAAGCCTGGGAGGGTGGCAGATGATGTCTGTCAAGTTGCCCTTTGAAATACAGACCTGTTTTAACTGGTACCCAGGACAAGCAGGCCAGCAGCGGGGGGGGGGAAGGAGGAATTGCCTATCAACTGGAAGGTTTTACCATCTGTCTTATCTGTGTGAGAAGGAATTTTCAAAGCCAAAACACTCAAGCCTGGTACAACCTATTTAGCAGAACTGAATTCAGCTGAAGAGAAAGGTGGAGGAGAGACTGAAGTTTCATTGAAGAAGTTACTCTCTTCAAGAAGGTTCAGGATGACTTGAGGTCTGATTGGTGAATTCTTCCTAAAGGTATAGAAAGTGGAATGACCCCATAAAAATGAGAAGAGGGTTTGTTTAGTCTGTCTCAGAAGAATGCTATGCTCAACTGCTGCTTTGTTACATGGTTTGTACTCTGCATATGTTCTGAAACCATGCTGGAATATATCAGTTTAGGAGAGTGAGCTTTCTTAATTTCTGTGAAAACTGAAATTGCCTCTGCCTTAGTATCTTTTGGATAATTATTTGCTCCACAACTTTTCTGACTGCTTTTTTGATTTTTGCAACTCCCTTTTGGAATTGTTAGAAATTTTATTCTTTTTTACTACTTTCTGCAGTAGTTTGGTTATTTTGAGAACAGAGGGTTGGCTGGTAATTTTAAAAGGCCTTGTATTGTCCACCTACTGGATTCCTTGTATTTGTGGGTATTTTGATGTTCCAGACTAGCAGGGTTGACATGCAAGGGGAAACACTTAGCCTTGTGAAGTTTTTGTAACTCCCTGAAGTACTGAGCAGTCAGAGAGGTGAGGGGTGCTGGGCAGAAAGATTCCCTCCATCCATTAGCATATCTGGCTCTCCTGGAATTTGCCCACACCAGGAAAGTGAGCAGTGTAGCTAAATGGTGAGTGTGGGCCTCTCTGACCTGGCCATAACTTTGCCAATGTCATAGTACCTGCTAATCAGAAAATCCCAAGGCTTTGATCATGCAACCAATGTCTGGCTCAATTACATAACTGTTTATTTACATGAAAATATCTGCATACCATTCCGGGATGCTTTCCTGGGGGAGACAGCAGAGTTTCCACTCCTGTATTTGTCTTCCAGATCAGGAACATGTGCAAATGTAGAGCAACCAATAATCCATCTGCCTGTGAAGACGAGATGAAATGAGACCTTTGTTTTTAAACACAAATAAGAAAAACTTACGTACATACATACATACATATAAATATAGTGGTTGCCACATATGCAAATGTGTAAAGACATTTTTAGGTGATGGAATCCAATAAAAACTAACTGAGAAATTGTCAGTAATAAAATAAAGCAAAATTCTGAGGGCTCAGACTTTTGCATTAGTGTGAATCAGAGCCTCATTGAAACACAGGCTAGAGCTTGGAATCAGCACATTAAATATAATGTGGTCTGTAGTGTGTTTCATGCAGGTGGTGACGGTACAATGATATTCCTTCTGCCACCTCTTTTGGTTTAACAAGTAACATTTAGGAATTTTCAGGAATTTTCAAATTTTTAAGGGTTTTTAAAAGCATGCATCTTGGAATACTTCACAAATACTCCGCCTGGAATAATAAGCTAGTCTTGTGAGGGTGGCACTGCCAGGCAGCTACCACGACTCAGACACACCTGGTGGATCCATTACTGTGTCAAACTGCTGAATTCCAGATCCAGCTTTTTAATACAGTGGTGCCTCGCTTAACGGGCGCCTTGTTTAACGACGAAATCGCATAGCGATGAAGATTTTGCGATCTCAAAAGCAATAGCATTGCGATGTTTTGAATGGGGAAAAATTGCTTTGCGATGATCGGTACCCTGTTTCGCTTACCGATCATCGCAAAGCGATGATTTTTTAACAGCTGATCGGCAGTTCCAAAATGGCCGCTGGGTAAAGAAAATGGTCGCCCGTTGTGTTTAGGGACAGATTCCTCGCATAAGAGGCAGCGAAAATGGTCGCCGTATGGAGGATCTTCACTTTAAGGTGAGTTTTAAGCCCATAGGAACACACTGAAGGGGTTTCAATGCATTCCTATGGGTTATTTATTTATTTATTTATTTTTATTTATTTATTGTATTTATACCCCGCCTATCTAGTCATTTCAACCACTCTAGATATATTGAATAGTGACAAAATTGCTTTGCAGCGATTTTTGCTGCACCGATTATCGTCGCTATGTGAGGCACCACTGTATATCAATGTAAAGTCACATAGTATTTAAATCGGTACACACATTCACTTTGGCTTAAATTAATTCAATGTATTTCTGGTAATTAAAATCAGTCTGGGAGCCTACACTTAAGTCTTGATTCATCTTCTTATACCTCGACAGCGCCCTCCTCACTTTCCCCACCTTGCTTGTGCCTCCCCTTCACCCCTTGCCCTGTGCCTGGATCATGCCCCTTCCCATCCCCTTCCCCACAGGTTGGCCACCCACCTACCAACGGCCCAGCTGGAAAAGCTGCTCTGAGCATGGATCAGTCCATTGGTGCCTGGATCACTTGCCTTCAGCTGTGCCTCTGACGCCTGCCTTAAAGGAGCATTGATTCTGAAACTGGGGGGCCGGGAGGAGCCCTTAAGGCCATGTAGCATTTGTGGCTTTGTCCTGCACCTCTCCGCCCACAAGCTGACAATATAGAGAGTCTGACCTGCCAATGGAGATTTGCCAGAGGAAACCACTTCCTCCTTCTTGGCAAAGTTAAAATGACCAGAGAAATTTAGGGTATCAGGAGCTTCTTCTCTTTGCCAAGGAGGAAGGCGCTTTTTCCCTCCTGCTCCTAAATTTCCCTGGTCATATCAGACGATCGATATCTCCCTTGGAAAAAACATATTAGCCAGCACACGGCTGCGGGAGGTAATCAGCGCAAAGCAACAGATACAATTAATACCGACAGAGGCATTCACATATGACAAACAAATGAAAAATAAATTGATTTTACATCCGTGTTAAAATAAACAACCCTCTGCTGACCCAGTAAAATACCTTGCTTCTGATTAAAAAAACAAAACAGAAACACCATAATATTATCGCAACCCCCCCCCCACACACACAGACACACACTTTCATTTGGGGCATGTAGCCTGGATTTTTAAAATCATTTTTTAAATAAAGAAAAATCTGATTAAACAGTGGTTCGTATTGCCAGTGGAACTGAGCACTAAGCCACCAAGCCTTGCTCCACCTTCTGCTATTTACGCTTGTTCACTTGCCTTCGCAGGCTTAAAACCAGTAACAACAGCATGGGTGATCGGGGGAAACATCTCCACTTGCATTGCGTTCTTCTAAGTAAGGAGGTAGATCAGGGCCAGAAAGAGACCAGTGAAAGGGTGGTTGCAGGTAATGATTTAGAGCAGTGGGTCCCAACCTTCTTGACACCAGAGACCGGTTTACAGCAGGAGGTGCATGCATGCACACGGGAGGCAGGCAGGCATCTATGCATGCGGCATGTGTGTGCACATGCATGCATGTGGGTGGGCAGGAGTGAGCACGTTCCTTCGGCCTTCACAAATCAGTCTTGGTCGCCCGGTCCTTCCAAAGCCACGACCAGTCCCGATCCGTGGCCTGGGGGTTGGCGACCCCTGACTTAGAGGGAAGGAAGAAGTACACCGAAATCATCTCAGGCAAAACATTGCCCTCTCAAATCTGAAGTTGCTGTATTAGCCGAAGAGAAGTCCTACATATTTCACATTTTTTAGAAAAACATATTAATACCAACCCATCGATAAATCAGAAGAATGAAAATAAGAGTTCATTCTTATTATTTCTTGCCACTGATCTTCGTCTATCTCCAGATCTTTCCCCCAAGTGCTTATGTAACTATTTATTTAGGAAGTCTACCCTTCCAACTAACTGCTGCGTCACGGTTTGTCTGTCCTTGTACTTTCCAAATTTCTCTTTACCTATGAAATTTTGTGACCAAAGGAACAATAGCGAACAGGAAAGAATTTAGGGAAAACAACAGCAAATACTCACATAAAAGAAGGGGGGAAAGATACAGGGTCAATTTCTAGACCACCACTCCTGAACTTGAACTGCTGGATAGGATTTAGATCTCTGGCTGCAGAGCCAGAGGTTGCTAGTTCAGTTCCCCGCAGTGGGTATAGGAGTTGGACTCCATGATCCATAGAGTCTTTTCCAGCTCTGTAGTTTTAAGATTATTATATTATTATTAAATACAGTGGTGCCCCGAATAGCGACGATAATCCGTTCCGGATAAATCGTCGCTATCCGGAAACGTCGCTATGCAGGGGGGGAACCCCATAGGAACGCATTAAACCCTGTTTAATGCGTTCCTATGGGGGGAAAACTCACCACTATGCGAAGATTCCCCATACGGCCGCCATTTTCGCCGCCTTGGTAAGCGAGGGCAGGGTGCGAAAACGTTGCGGGCAGCCATTTTCTTCATCCAGCAGCCATTTTGGAACCGCCAATCAGCTGTTGGGGAAACATAGCAATGCGAAGAACGGTAAACGAAACGCTTACCAATCATCACAATGCAATTTTTGCCCATTCAAAACATCGCAATGCAATCGCTTTTGCGATCGCTAAATCCGCATCGCTATGCGGATTCATCGTTAAATGGGGCGCTCGCTATGCGAGGCACCACTGTAATTGGTCTTGGTGTTTCATGTTTTAAGATTATTATATTATTATTAAATAATTTGTCTTGGTGTTTCACCTTTGTCTTTTAATAGTTCACTCACTCATAATACCAGACCAGGATTTCCATATCAAGGTGGGAAGCCAGTGCTGTAGCATGTTTGCTTGCAACTTTGCCAGTCTGTATGTGTAAGTTCCTCCAGACACACTAAGTTCTCAAAGGCTGTTTTACAGATAGGAAAAAAATGTTTGTGGTTTCAACATTCTCACCAAAATCATCGATTTTACACTTTCTGATAATTGTTGTGAAACAAAATGCTTCTATCCTGCCAAATTTGCTCATTTGCCAGCCTTGAAATACATTTTGTATGCATGAAAGAAAAAACACATTTTTAAAAATGTGAGTGGCTACAAATCTATATGTGAAAAATAATTACAAACTGATATTTAAGTCAGCAGACAAAATGAGTACCAAAATGTGTTCACGCAGAAACGTGCATACTATGGAAAATGCAGATAAAAATTGTATACATTTTCATGCAGGAAGGGGGGGGGAACACCCTATTTCACAATCTGATAACAAAGGGTGAGATGAAGAAATGCAAATGAAGACTTGAGAATTTTTCCTTGTCCTTAGGCCACGGTTCCCTCTATGTTGGATGCATGCACCTCTACCTCATTCTGAGCAGCTGGCTTTCTCCTCCATGCAGCGCTTGTGTTAGGTTCCAGTTGTGACGGAACCCGGCATGCGTGTGTGTGTGTGTGTGTGAAGTCACATGTGCACACAGGCGCAAAGTTGCGAGAGAGAGAAGTGGAGCCCCATCCAGTGGAGCTGAAACTTCAAAGTTACAGTATCCTCGGCTATTTTAAACTAGCAAACAAAAATGGGAGTGGGGTGCAGAGTTGGACCCGCTATTCTTATTCTGGCCTATGTCAGTTTCATGTCTTCATTTGTAAATGTGTTCTCTAATTTCTCCTGTTTCTATACTAATTTATGAATGTTCTTACAGTAAGATGCATGAAAATACTTAGCTATTTAGTTTTAATGCAGATTTTATGCACATTTCCTTAAGATGCATATTTTTAAGTGTACTGAATTGCTTATATTTTGTTTTGTTTTTGAACTGAGATATTAGCACAAAATTCAGATAATTCCACATTCTGCTTTATCGTTGGGCAAACTCAGAGAACCATTTGAAGCTAGACATGTTGAGGGGCAGTGTCTGGGTCCCGTGACTTTTTCCCTACAACCTCCCTAGTCCAGGCAAATAGTATACTTGCAACTTGCTTGAATTAGGTTGCAGTACCACTGGCTATAAGAATTATAGTTAAATCAATTTCATCCTTATTTGAAATTGATTTATAAACTCCCGGGCACTTGACACATGGGAGAAATCGATTTATTTGGGCTGCAAAGCGATTTTTTTTTCCAACTGGCCAGAAGGGGCTTTTTAAAATACTTCAATTCTAAATCGATTGAATTCAATGTGTTTTTGTAGATGTGAACACCGCTGTCATTTTGATTTGTGCCTATGTAA